ATGACTTTGATTCTCCCTTAGAGAATTCACCAGTTGAAATGAGAGACCAAATACGTGCCGGTTCCGTGGAAGTCATAAAGCGCCAATAGTTCCCGCTTTGAAAGTCAAATATCTTGCATACTTCTTGGAGTGTGACCGTGTAGGGCTTTCCTTCAATCTTGAAATCAATTTTTCCAAGAGTCTCAGGTTTCCGACTTTGGTGATTGACCGTCACCGCTATGGATGCAAGGAATTGGAAAGTGGGATTCTTGTAAGATGGATATTACTTTGTGAAGAATGTAGTCAAACCCATGTTGTTCATGATTGCTTCCACATCATCGAGAATTCCAAGTTGAGCAAGGAGTTTTTTATCCACATATTTGGTTGGGACCATTTCACACTTTTGAAGCGCCTTGAGATAAGCTGTGTAAGGGGACACCGTAACTTTTGCCTTAGGAACCACTTTCTTTGATTTTCTCTTTTTGTTACTAGAGCTAGCTCCATCATCATTTTTCTTTAGTGGAAGTGATCGTTCGAGATTGTTCTTCCTCACTTTCATCGTTCGTATTTTCTCTTCGTTGACGTATCATTTTCAAGTGTGGTACCTAAAGAAAATCATTGTAAACATATATGAGGCGTTAAATATGCTCAAAGTATTACATACTTTGCAAGAGAGAATAAACATGAACATATACAAGCTTGTAATTTCTCTACTTATCAAGTTCAAATAATATTCAATTCTCTTTTGCAAAAGTGTGTAGTCGAACATAAAGTTTGCAATGCCATCATAATAGACAATAACTCACACTAATTCATCAAGACAATTGATTTTCCTCAAATGTTGCGTCAAACTCGTCACAAATCAAGGCTTTAAACCCTAACTTTCAAAAATCTCAAATTTATCATGGAAATTGGTAAATAAGTTATGGAAATCGTTTACCCAAGCTACAAACAACAAGGAACAAGCATAATGTTGAAAAATCGAGCATTAATCAATCAATTCCAAGAGTTTTGTGTTTGAGCCAAATCTTAGCAATTCCATGGAGGAGATGAGATTAAAGAGATCATACCTTGTTAGTGTGATGAGGATGGGGTCGGAATCAAAGAGATAGACGAGATTGAAAGCCAAAAACGAGTAGAGATGTAGAAGATTTGTTGAAATCGTGAGTTTGAAAGAGAAAAATGGTGATTGTGAACAAAGTGTCGAACAAGAGGGGAAGAAGAGTTTTTTTTTTTTTTTTGAATTATCAAATCGATTTTAATAAAAGTAAACCGGAATAAACTGGCTAGAAAGTAACGAGACTTACCTGAGCGTGGCATCAAGTACCTTCTCATTGATTCACGTGGTCGATGTATCTACTGGAAAAATTTAAAATTTTGGAGACTCTCGCATCGACCGATTCACGCCTGATGTCAAATGCCCGATGCACCCTATATCAATATACTGACTTTTTACGTTATAATCGCCTTGAAACCAAATCTAATCTTCATGC